TGATTGTTTTATAGAATTCACCCATCTGGGCCTGAAGTTTTCTTTATGGGAAAATTTTTGTTATCACATTTAGTTTCTTTAAAAGATATATAGGGGTATTCAGTTTTTCTATTTTTTCTTGTATCATTTTGTATAGTTATTTTAAAATAAAAATCTCTATTTCATCTAAATTGTAGTTTTTTGGCATACAGTTGTTCATTAGTCTCTTACTATACTTTTGATGTACGTAGGCTCTGTGATGATAAACTCTGCCTTCATTTCTGATATTGGTGGTTTGCATTCTCTCTCTCTTTTTACTGTTCCAGTCATCTCTGCTCTTATCTTTAATATTGTCTTCCTTTTGTTTACTTTGGGTTTCCCTTTTACTTTTCTTAGTTTCCTAAAGTGGAACCTTAAGTGGATGAATTAAGATGTTTCTTCCTTTGTAATACAAGTATTTAAAATCAAGTTTCCCTCAAAACACTGCCTTAGCCGTATCCACTTTTTTTATTGTCATTCAACCAAAATGTTTTCTTATTTTCAAGAGATTTTGTTTTTGAGTCATAGATTATTTAAAAGCATGTTGTTTAAGGTCCCGATAATTTATTATTGATTTCTAGTATAATTTGATGGTAGTTCAATAATATACTGTATTAAATTTGATCTTCGTAAACATAATGAAACCATGTGCACCTGAAAAAAAATGTGCATTCCAGTTGCTGGACATAGTGTTCTATAAATGTCAATTAGATCAAGGCGAGTTCATACTATTTTTCAAATTTTCTATATCTCCAATTACTTATTTTTATCTAGTTGTTTTGTCAATGGCTGAGAAAGATGTTATAAAAATTTCCTACTACAACTGCAGTATTATCTACTTTTTTCATATTTTCAATATCTCCAATTTTCATGTAGTTGTTTTATAATCCCTGAAGAAATGGCATAAAAATTTCCTACTATGATTGAACAGAATCATCTATTTTTTCCTTTAATTACGTCCCTTTTTGTATCATGACCTTTTTGTCTCTAATAATATTTTTCTTTGTTTACTTTATTTGATATAGAATAAGCAAGTCAAGTCTTTTCATGCTGTTTGTATGGTATATTTTTTCCTATGCATTTATTCATATTGTTTCTTTAAATTTCAAGTGTTTCCTTTTAGCCAATATATAGCAGAGTCTTGCTTTTTTCCCCACTATACAAATTTCTGTCTTTTAATAGGAGTAGCTGGGCCAGGAGTCAGCAAATTTTTTCTGTAACGAGTCAGAAACTAAATGATACAGGCTTTGTAAGCCATGTTGTTCTCTGTTGCTGCTACTTATTTCTGCAGTTGTAGCGTGACAGAAACCACATACAATTTAAAAAACATAGGTTTCCCCAAATTTGACCTGCAGGCTTTTGTTTGCTGACTTCTGGTGTAAACACTCCTAATTAAGATTATTAACATTTAATGTGTTCACTGATAAAGTTGGTTCAGCCCCTATCATTTTATTTTATTTTTTTGCTTCTAACCTCTGGTTTTTGTAACTCTGTTATCATTTCTTGACTTTCTTTAGATTATCTGAATGTTTTTTAGTATTTTAGTTCATCTATTGGCTTTTGGCTATATTTTTGTAATTTTGCATATTTTTAGTAATTCTAGGAGGTTATAATACATAAAAACTTTTGCAGACTAGTTAGAGTTTATAGTGTACCACTTCACATGAGATTTAGAAATCTGTCAACCACATAGGTCACCTTGGCTCATCTCCCACTAACCTTAATGATCTGGTTGTCTTCTGTATTACATCTAAATTACTGAAAGCCCCAGTAGACATTATACAGTTTGGTTTCCACAGTCATAAATATTTAAAACAATTTTAAAAATATTTACTAAGCTATTATTTCCAATGGTTGTCCATTATTTCTGAAGATTCAAGTTTTTATAGGGTATCACACTCCTTTATCCTGAAGAACTTCCTTTAGTGTTTCTTGTATAGTAGAGCTGCTGATATACAAATCCCCTTAGTTTACCTTCATCTACAGTGTCTTCATTTAATTTTGATTTCTGTGGTTATCTTCACTGCCTTGACAGTTTTCTTCTGTCAGCACTTTAAAGGTATTGTTTCAATGTCTTCTGTCCTCTATAGTTTTGCATGAGAAATCTGTATTAATTCAAATTATTGTAAACCTGTACATAATATGTCTTCTTGTGGCTGCTCTCAAGATTTCTAAAAAATTTACCTTTGGTTTTCTTTATTTTAATCACAGTGAGTCAGAATATGTTTTCCTTGGCTCTATCCTCAAAAATAAACATGCTTAGAATTGGGTGAACTTCATGTTCATGTAAAAACCTATCTCTTTCTTCAAATTTGGGAAGTTTCCTGCAATTGTTTCTTCATTTTTTTTCCTGACCCAATCTTTCTATTGACTTTCTGGAACTCCAATTACACATATAGAACATTTTGTCCTAGAGCCACTGAGGCTCTGATCTTTTTTAAAATATAATTTTTCTCTCATTTTTTCAAATTCAAAATTTTTATGCTCCATGTTCAAGTTCAGTGATTCTTCTGTCATATGCAGGCCACTACTAAGCCCATATGGTATGTTTTTTTTTTTTAAAGATTTTTATTGGGGAATTGGGGGGATGGGAACAGCGCTGGGGAATTGGGGGAAGGGGAACAGACAAGTTGCTGTCGTTTTGTTCTTCAGTCTAGTTGTGGAGGACGCTGCTTCACTGGCCCAAGTTGGCACCATCATTGAGCTCTTCCCAGCGAGGCAGATCAGTCGCCGGCTTCTGGACGGCCGCTCACGCTGGCTGCTGGCTACACATGGTAGCCCATGGCAACCCACTGCCACAGGGACTGCAGCCTACGCCGTCGCCGGCGACTCACGGCAGCCCAGCTCCAGGTTGAGCTGTTGTTCAGCATCTTAGCTGTGGAGGGCAGTGTCACTGGCCCTCATATGTGGGATCCGAACCGGGGCCCTCTGGCATCCCAAGCCAGTTCTTAACCATCACACCACTCGGCCGGCCCAGGTATGGTTTTTTATTTCAAGTACTATGTTTTTAATTCTGAAATTCAGTTGATTCTTTTTATACTTTGTTTCTCCATTGAGAATTCTTAACTTTTTTCATTCAGTGTGCCTTCCCATACACCTCAAGGAAAAAATGATAATGGCTGCTTTAAAGTTATTTTTGCAATTCGATTATTTTAAAACAAATAGGGAACATTCATTTATGTTGTCAGTTTTTTGTTTTTTCCCCCAGAGTATATAGAAATAATAAGTGGGATGAATGGGGTGATGTACACTTCTGCCTCCATGCTAGAACTGGATCTTTTATGCTTTCCTTTTTAACAACTTCTGAGGATCTAAAGGAAGTGAATCTGTCTCTGTACAATCTTTTTGACAGAGCTGCTATCACAAGTATTATAAACTTGTTGATTTAAAACAACAGAAATTTATTCTTTCCTTGTTGTGGAGGTTAAGTCCCTAATCAGGTACAAGCAGGCCATCATCCCTCTGAGATGCTCAGTAGAATCCTTCATTTCCTCTCTTCCTTGTTTCTGGTGGTAGCCAGCAATCCTTGTGTTCTTTGGCTTGCAGATAAATCAATCGTATCTGTGGCTCCATCTTCACATTGCTCTCTCCCCATGTGTCTTCACACTGATTTTCCTCTGTGTGTGTCTACCTTCAAATTTCCCCTTTTTATAACCACAGTGTATTAGGGCTTACCCTAATGACCTCATTTTAACTTGATTATCTCTCTAAGTACCCTATTACTAGATAAGGTCACGCACTGAAATACTGGGGGTTAGGAATTCAACATATATTTTGGGGGGTATAAAATTCAACCCATAACACTTTCCCTGCCTCTGGAAAATGTTTTTCAGCAACCATCAGCAATAGCATTCAGAGAATAATCTATGAAAGGATAAGTCATTTCATAATTGTTCTCTTTTATACCACTGTGGGTCATAATAGAAGGGCAAATGGCCATTAAACTAGAATGTTAATATTGTTAAAAGTATGACTTATAAAAAATATGACTTATAATAGAGGACAAGCTTCCAGTTCTTATAACAGTGGTTAATTTAGCTGCCTTTTCATAATTTTAATTACATTTATTTTTATAATAAGGGCATCACCAATATAAAGCAGGTTAATCTTTTCAAGATGCACTAATATTCATATACATAAATTAAACCAAACTGTATAATACACAGTACGGGGAGGGAGGGAGGGGGAAGAGGAGAATGGAGGAGGGTGGTATCAGTAAGGAGGCTCTATAAAATACACACTCATATTTGCACCCACTTTAAAAAACACTTTTAAAACTGGCTTATAACCACTAATGATGGGATAAACACAGATTTATCAATACTGACCTGTCAGACCCAATAACATTCTAAAAAGTATTCTTTTAAAAATAAAATATAAAATAGCATTCAACAATGATAAACTATGTAGAAAATATACTATAGTCGGCTTGAGGTAAAAGAAGCAAGCGTTAAATTGTATGCAGTTAGTAATTTGTACAAACCTAGGTGATCCCAATTAATATTAAATTGTAAAACTGTAGAATACATCACATTTGGCCTATACTAACTAAAATGCTATGGAATGAACAAAATACCTTTTTACAATAGTAAACAGTGCTTTTAAAAAAAAACACTAAATGTTGAGCAACAGAAGTTCTGGGTGATAATCGGATTGAAAATTACATTTGAACACTTCAACAGACTCTTCCAGTCTGATGGGAAAGGAGTTCATCAGTGTTTAAAAACTTGACATCTGCAACTGATTTCATTCCATCAGCCAAAGATGAATTTATGCTGCCACCATTACATTTTCAGAAGAGTTTAAATTACAAAACTTGAGAGAGCTTCAAAGAAATTCTTAATCTAACCATTTTGATCTTGATGGTCTTGTTAAAAACAATTTAGGAGGCTTAATAGAAGAGAAACTCTGTAACAAAATGGATAACAACTGTTATGAAATCACATTATTTAAATTTCTTTTCATAAATCAAATGTACCAACCTGGGGGTTCGAGCATTTTATCTCAAGTGACTCTAGGTCAACATGGAGACAGACAACAAATGAATGCCTCGTATCAGGTCCTGCAGTGAGTAGTTTTTGAGATGTAACAGCTAGAGTAGAGGTACAACCCATAGGTTCCACTAGGCAAAGTGTCACTTGTTTTCCAAAAAGGCTATATACACTGAAATGATGTAAGCTGATAGTCCAAGGAAAAGCATCACCTGTTAAAGGGGACAAAAGAGGTTAGGAAAGCACATATACAAACATTTAGTTGTCACTTAATTGTACTTGATAGTAACTTGTCTATTGTCTAAATTTGAAATATAAAATTTGTAATACTGTATCATTAAAAGTGAATACAGTATCCCAGGACTAACAAGCGAAACAGTTTGCATGCTACATAAAAGTTACCTTTTTAAATGGTATACGTTTATATTTATAATAACATATTATTATACCAATAAATTATGTACAATATAAAACATACAGAAATAGAAATGAGGGAAATGGGGTAAAACTATAAATAGAAGTTCAAACCTCTTCTTCCCTTACTCTAGGAGGTTGTGCTGTGCAACTGCTGGGGATGTGTGGGCTATGTCTTAGAGGCCACAGAGAATGCATGAAATTAGAAAAATATTGGGTTGTTGGAATATTTTATTTATGTCATGACGTATTTTTTCTATGTTTTTCATTGCAAAAATGCGTCATGACTTTTCGACAGCCCAATACAATAATTTTTGCATGGACTCAAGGTGATCACACACAGATTTGGCTGAAATGAAGGAAAAGAACAAACCATCTACTATGGTCTGACAGACCACCTGCACTAGAATCATCCAGTGCTTATTTAAAATACAGAATCCTGGTTTCTACTTTAGACCTATTTAAACAGAACCTCTGGTGATAAGACCCAAGATACATTTCAGTACCTTCCCTTGGTGATTCCCATACATAATATGTTATTTTTAAATAAAATGTATGTGAAAAAATGTAAGCATTCATAAACCTCAGGTATTAAGTGCAAAATGTTCTTTCCTTTTTTATACTATTTATTTTTATTAACTTATCAGAAATTAATTCATTATTATAAACTTATGAGATAAAGTCATCTTTTTTTTTTTGTGGCTATAGAAAAGTTGCTTTGGGAAATGATTTTTAAAAGTGTACTCACAATCCTCTCCATTGATGTGCAAATAGCAACCAGGCTCAACTACAACAGGAGGGCACACACAACCCACAAAAGGGACACACCTGGAGCACCTGGCTGAGGTGACCAGGGAGACTGCACCATTGGGCCCCACAGCAAACATATGAAATAAGGCCACTCTACTAAGATGGGGAGACATAGCAGTCCTACTAAATACAAAGAAACAAATGCAGGAAGACAGCCAAAAATGCAGAGATAAAGAATAATGTCCCAAATGAAAGTACAGAAAAAACTCCAGAAAAAGAACTAAACAAAATGCAGACAACCAATCTACTAGATGCAGAGTTCAAAACACTGGTTATAAGGATGCTCAGTGATCTCAGGAAGAAATTCAACAAACAGGAAACATAAAAAAGAACCAGTCACAAATGAAGAATATAGTAACTAAAATTAAGAATACATTAGAGGGAATCAAAAATAGATTAATCAAAAATTGAATCAGCAATTTGGAAGTAGCAGAGAACACCTAATCAGCACATCAGAAAGAAAAAAAAATCCCCCCCCAAAAAAAAAACTGAGGATAGTTTAAGGGGTCTCTGGAACAACACCAAGCTTAACAACATTTGCATCACAGGGGTATACCAGAAGGAGAAGAGAGAGAGCAAGGAACTAAAAGAAAACCTATTTGCAGAAATAACAGTGAAAAACTTCCATAACCTGGCAACGGAAATAGACATACAAGTCCAGGAAAAGCAGAGAGTCCCAAACAAGATGAACCCAAAGAGGCCCACACCAAGACACATCATAATTAATATGCCAAAGGTTAAAGACAAAGAAAGAATCTTAAAAAGAGCAAGGGAAAAGCAGTTACTTACCTACAAGGGAGCTTCCATAGACTATCAGCTGATTTCCCAACAGAAACTTTGTAGGCCAGAAGGGATTGCCATGAAATATTCAAAGTAATGAAAAGCAAGGACGTACTAGCAAGACTAGTCTACCCAGCAGGACTATCATTTAAAATTGAAGGAAAGATACAGAACTTCCCAGACAAGGAAAAGTTAAAGGTGTTCATCACCACCAAACCAGTATTACAAGAAATGTTAAAGAGACTTTTTAGAGGAGGAGGAGAAAAAGATTAAAAATATGACTAACTAAATGGCAATAACTACATATCTATCAACAATTACTTTAAATGTAAATGGATTAAATGCTCCAATCAAAAGTCATGGAGTAGCTGACAAGATAAGAAAACAAAAACCTTAGGTATGCTGCTTATAAGAGACTCATTTCAGATCAAAAGACATATGCAGGCTGAATGTAAAGGAATGGAAAAGATATTTCATGAAAATTGAAACGAAAAAACGAAGCTGGGTTAGCAAGAATAAAACCAGACAAAATAGACTTTAATACAAAGCCTGTAACAAGAGACAAAGAAGGATCCAGTAATCTCACTTCTGAGTATTCATCCTAAGAAACCCAAAACACAGCTTTGAAGGGACATGTGCATCCATTTGTTCACTGCAGCATTATTTACAATGGCCAAGATATGGAGGCAATCTGTGTGTCCATTGATGAATGAATGGATAAAAAAGAAGTGGTACATCTATATAATAGGATACTACTAAGCCATTAAAAAGAATGAAATCTTGCTATCTGCAACAACCTGGATGGACCTAAGGATATTGTGCTGAGTGGAATAAGTCAGAGAAAAGCAAATGTCATATGACTTCACTTATATGTGGAATCTAGAGAGCAAAATATTGGGTTGTCAGAAAAGTCATGACATATTTTTTTGTTTTTCATTGCAAAAATGCGTCATGACTTTTCCGACAACCCAATAAATGATCAAAACAGAAACAAACTGAGCTTCAGGGAAAATGGTGGCTGTGAGGAGGGCTCCCTGAGTTCTCCCCTGGAAATCTCCGTAATTTGACCTGCTGTAACTCTTCAAACAAACCTCTACTCATCACACGGAGCAGCCAAGAGACTTGCACGCCGATTACTGGAAGGTGGGCAGACTGGGCGAGTGGGAGAAGAGGGAGGCGAGACGCGCGGAGGTGCAGCCCGCACCGGCAGCTGCTGAGACACGGGGCCTCACAGAGCAGATCAGAGAATGTTCCCCAGCTCGCTCCCTGTACCTCATGGACGCCGAGAGAGCAGCCCGAGCTGCTGGAGCATCGAAGGCAGAAGCCTCAGCTCAAATCGGCGGTGTGACTTCCTGTAGCGCCCTTCTTTGTCCTTTATTATGTTCTTCAATTTAAAGTCCATTTTGTCTGATATAAGTATAGCTACTCCAGCTTTTTTCTCATTTCCATTTGTATGAAATATTTTACCCCATCCCTTTACTTTCAGCCTGTTTGTGTCTTTTGATCTGACGTGAGTCTCTGGTATACAGCATATGCAAGGGTCTTGCTTTCTTATCCATTCAGCCACCCTATGTCTTTTATTGGGGCATTTAATCCATTTACATTTAACGTGATTATTGAGAGGTACATAGTTATTGCCATTATGTTATTTGTTTTTCTAGTCTTTATTAATTATATTGTTTTTCTCTTTCTTCTGCTTAGAAGCCCTTTTAACATTTCCTGCAATGCTGGGTTGGTGGTAATGAATTCCTTTAGCTTATTCTTTTCTAGGAAGCTCTTTATCTCTCCTTCAATTTTAAATGATAGCCTTGCTGGATAAAGCAATCTAGGTTGTAGGCCTTTGTTTTTTCATCGCTTTGAAGACCTCCTGCCACTCCCTTCTGGCCTGCAGAGTTTCTGTAGAAAAGTCAGCTGATTATCTTACCGGGGGATGCCCCTGTCAGTAACTTGCTGTCTGTCCCTTGCTACTTTTAGGATTCTGTCTTTGTCTTAACCCTTGCCATTTTCACTATAATGTGTGTTGGTGTGGGCCTGTTTGGGATCATCTTGGTTGGAACTCTCTCTTCCTGGGCTTGTATGTCGATTTCCTTTATCAGGTTAGGGAAGTTTTCAGAAATTATTACTTCAAATATGTTCTCTATCTCTTGCTCCCTCTCTTCTCTTTCTGGTATTCCTAAGATGTTGTTGTGCTTGATGTTGTCGCCCAGCTCACTTAAACTATTTTCAATGTTTTTTATTCTTTTTTTTGGAACCATCAAAGACCCAGAATAGCCACGGCAATCCTGAGAAATGGGAAAAAAGTCGGGGGTATCAAACTACCCAACATCAAATCATACTACAAGGCTACAGTAATCAAAACAGTATGGTACTGGCATAAAAACAGGCACATAGATCAATGGAACAGAATAGAGAGCCCAGACATAAATCCATTCATATACGGTCAGTTAGTCTATGACAAGGGAAGCAAGAAGTTACACTGGGGTAAAGATAGTCTATTTAATAAACGGTACTGGGAAAATTGGACTGACACATGCAAAAAAATGAAACTGGCCCTCCTTCTTATGCCATATATGAGAACAAATTCAAAATGTCTAAAGACTTAAATGTAAGACCTGAAACCATAAAACTCAGAAGAAAATATAGGGACTAAATTTGTAGACATTACCCTGAGCAATATTTTTACTGATATATTCCCTTGGGCAAGGGAAGTAAAAGAAAAAATAAACATATGGGAGTACACCAAACTTATAAGTTTTTCAAAGCAAAGGAAATCATCAATTAAAGAAAAAGGAAGCCTACTGAATGGGAGAAGATATTTGTCAACGAAATATGTGATAAGGGGTTAATATCCAAAATGTATAAAAACACTCATGTAACTCAACACCAAAAAAAACAAACAACCCAATTAAAAAATGGGCAGAGCATATGAAGAGACATTTCTCTAAAGAGGACATACAGATGGCCAACAGGCATACGAAAAAATATTCAACCTCACTAATCATTAGGGAAATGCAAATAAAAACCACAATGAGATACCACCTTACCCTGATCAGAATGGTTATCATCAATAAATCAACACACAACAAGTGCTGGGGAGGTTGTGGGGAAAAGGGAACCCTGGTGCACTGTTGGTCCACTATGGAAATCAGTATGGAGGTATCTCAAAAAACTGGAAATGGAACTACCTTATGACCCAGCAATTCCACTC